TTTCTTCATGTATTTAAATTCAGTTACTTCTACAAAATTTCATCAAAACCAACACACTAACAAACCATGTTTGAGTAATTTACTTTCTTTCTAGCTTTTACTAATAGTTTTTAAAAGAACAGTTTTTATTTCCAAAATTATATTTGCCCACAACACTAGAAATTTTGTTTTCCAAAACTCAAGTATTTTTAATAATGATATCAATTAACTCATATATAAAGACTAAAATTTTAGTCACAACATAGATACAATATTTCTCAAAGTTAGATCAGGGCTAAGAATATATACAGGCAAAAATAGTCCTTTGTCCTGAAAAGTATAAGTACTTCAGAGACATTTTAAAAAGAGAATAATTTAATTATTTCCTGAATGTTTCTAAAATATCTTCAGGAAGTTGAGATCTTATCATATAGAACCTGTGTATTACTTGTAAAGATTGTTAGTCTCCTCTCTACTATTTCTGTAGGCCGTAAAATAGATACCTTTTAAATCTCACTAATCTGATAAAGTAAAAACTGCACTGAAGTTTAATCCAGTAAACATATCTCTAAGGAAAGATCAGCACAGAACAAAACAGTTTAGGGATTCTGTGCTCAGTGCAAACGTAAACAGGATTATGACTGTCAGAAACACAGAAGCTCTACTTCGGCCATTACTTAGCTCAGGCTTCTGAGAAAAAACATGGACTGCAGCAAGAGGCTTCCCCATCCACACACCCCTGCAGCAGGAGGCTTCCCCATCCACACACCCATGCAGCAGGCAGCTTCCCAGGCCATGCAGGATGTATGAAAATGATAGTCAAAGGCATTAGCTTGTCTTTTTTCTCCCAGACTGTTTTCCCCTAAATGGAAGGCAAGGTTCTTTCTCAAAGCACTTAAGCTGGGTCTAAGACAATGCTAACAGAAAATTGAATACACTAGGCAAGAAAGTTTCATAATTGGGTTATTCACTATATTTCAAGAAAATTTTGAAAAAACAATCCAAGTTCTATATTGTTTAGGATAACTACTATAAGGTTAATACTCTAGTTTAACTGCCTTTTATTTTTCAACTAGAAGAATTTTCAGTTTAAGTAGTCTGTATGTAGGCTCACTTCCTGATTTAAACACTATTCTCCATAACAGGTCCTGATTCTAATTTTAACTGTAAAAAAATCCCTCAGGTTTAAAGACAGCAATCTTCTTTCAAATAACTTGTATAAGTAGGTAACTTTTTAGCTTCTAAGTTAGTACTCACATTGTTTTTGATGAAAGAGAATTTACAATTAATTACTACAAGTTTATTTAATTATGATCAAGTAAAACCAGGATATAAAGAGAAGTGATCTGGCTGCTTTCTGGACCTTAAAACATTGACATATCACAAAAACAAAACAAAACAAAAACCTCTAGTAGTGTGATTGCTCTAACCAGATTCAATTTTTAAAGGAACAGGAACTAATGTTTGAAACGTGTACACATTTTATTTTATAGTTACTAAAAGCATGTCCACCTCAGTACATTTCTAGATGTTCCCATTGTAATGACAGAAAATGTTATGCCCAGAGAAGTCTAAAGGTTCTGCATTACCCACAATCCAAAGGGGGAAAAACCACCCTCCATACCCTCCTTCCTTCCAGGAATGTCTTGCAGCCAGCCAGCCCAACACCACAGTTCTGGGCAGAAGCACGCTGATATTGGCACTGCCTAAACCAAACAAACAAGATGTTTAACAGTCAAATAAAATGTCCTGCAGTCTCCCTAATGAATTTGTCAAGGACCATCAGATTTCGCTCCCCCTCCTTTGCCTCATTAACTCAAGTATGATGAGACGGATTATAACAAGAGAATACAGATCAATCGGTCTGAAGACTTGAAGTGGCTTTTAGCCTCTAGAGTTTCTTTCTCTCTCGGTCTCCTTAATAGAACATCGTATCTTCTGCCGAAGGAGCTGCCACTTCGTTTTAATACACCATCAAGGAGCTGCTGATGGACTTCTATACCAACATACATAAAAGCGGAGGTGACAGGGGCTCTTCAATTATAGCCTCCTCAGATAGCGTTTCCCCCTTCAATTATTCAACCAGGGAGAGAAGCCACAAACAGGAGAAGCTGCTCTCTGCCAAGGCAGTGGAGAGAGGTAGGGGGAGGGGGGCAGTGTTTGCTGGAAGTGTTTAAGTTTATTGCTCGAATGATGTTTCTAATTAGCACCACAGCGATAAATTAAAGTCGCCTTTGTTTAACTGATTTATTATTTACTAGAGCATCTACCTTAGACAGGGTAAATTGGTAATGAATTGTTTTTAAATCAAAACATTTGTAACGTTTTATCATTCTTCGCCTCTAGGTAGAAGTGGAGAAACTGTGGACAAGGATGTAGGATGTGAGGAAATTTGCTCAGATTGGAAGACGGTGAATGCAATGGACGTCTGTGTCCTGTGGCTGGAAGACTTGGCAGGCAGAGCTAGGAGAGCCGGCACCAAAAGGCTTGCACTGTCTCTCACAGGCATCAATGGCTACATGCATACACAGCTGGCCAGAGGATGTGGAGGAACTCTGCACCTGGGCCTTGCCGTCGGTCTCCGCCCAGTGCTGCATGCAGTACTTGTTTCAAGCTTCTCCTCATAGTCCCACACCCCGAGAGTGCAGTCCTCTGGCCGGTAATGCTTCCGTGGCCAACAGCAGAAAGCGCTGTGCTGCATGGGCTCAGTCCAGCAGCAGCTTTTCCGACTAGCAGGAAAGCTGCAGCCAGATGCTCAGTACTGCCATCACTCCTAGGAACTCCACTGAAACTATTGCCCCAGAGGTTCGCTGATGCTTACTTTGCAAGGTTCTTCCCAACACCTCTCTACTGAAGACAGTCCCTAAGCAATAAATCCTGCTTGATTTTAAAAAAGAAAAAGCCAAATATTCTTTAGAAAGAGGCTTTAGCAACAAGGGTGAGGCCAATCAAGTCTCCAGCCATCTGGACACACCAAAGACTAAGAATGAAGGAAGGTGTAGAGATCCAAGTGTCCCATGCCAAGTAGAGAGAGAAATCAGTTTTCCCAGTAGCAACTGAATTCAGGTTCTGGTTCAGTTCCAAAAAACGCAAGTCAAGCTTTCCAAAGGAGATTTACCAAAGCCACACACTGTGATTTGTAAAAAAACAAACAAACAAAAACTAAAGATTTTATTTAGCCACCCCCCCACATAACCCACATCTGAAATATTATCAGCCAAATCAAACTAAAAATAGTCCTACTACCTGAGTGTATTAAAACAATTGAGAATCCTGACATCTTAAATTCAAAAATAAACCCTCAGGAGCAAGTCCTTGCAATAGCCCTCACTCCTCCAAAAGTCATACAAGGCAGCAGCCACACAGCTTGTTAAGGATAATACATATTCTAAGGAACAGGCTTAAGTTTCGGTGGGACGGCAGCGGAGGAAGAAGGCCATATGGGTAATCAATAACAGGACAGCTATAGATTTCTGTCCCAGTCAACTCCTTTAAAAGCAAGAGTCAATTATGAAAATAACATGACTTTAAACCAGGAGCTGTACTTCCTGAGAATATACTCAAAATTAAAGTTACAGTATTAAAATATTAAGAAAACAAATTCAGGTTCAACTTTCCTTTCCTTCATTTTAATTCAAAACGACTTTAGTAGCTTATTTTAATTAACAAGTATAACCTAGTGATATATACCATATAAAATTTACATTGTTTCTCAGAACTCAAGTATTTTCTGTAGTTATTGGTCAGTTCTTGTAACAGTAAAATAATGGCACAAAGATATCTGAATCTAAATTATGAAGTATCGATCAAATAACGTATTTGGACTGCAACTGCTAAGAAAGGATAAAAGAAGATGGCTTCTCACTACAAAATGAGTGAGAGCATTTAACTTCTATCTTGTCCCATTTTCTTACTCCCCCCCCCACCTCCTTTATCAAGTGCAGTGTGGTAGCTGCTAGGGTTCCAAGCTTGTCTTCTCTCTCTTTCTCTCGGATTGGCTAAAGCACTGACAGCTTGCATAGGGATTGTAGGAACTGAAGCTCCACCTCCTCACGATGCCAGACACCATTCATAAAGTGAGAGAGGAGAGGGGAGGAGAAGAGAGAGAGAGAGAGAGAGAGAGAGAGAGAGAGAGAGAGGTGTAGGGCAGGTATCAGAGGACAGGAGGGAGAAGTGGAGTCTGCATAAGCAACCCAGAGGAGAGAAAAAATCCGGACTAAGAACTGCATACCAGATACAACGTAAGCAAGGACTTAGTCACACTAAAATAGATTTTGCGAGGGCCAAAAGTATAAATAACGAGGCAGAAATGAATATCAAACAACTTGCAGCGGTTTGCACCTAGAGAAAGGCAGGAAGAACACCCATCTCCCCCCCCCCCCTTCAAACAAACCAACTCAACCCAAACAACGCCTCCAGTAGGAAATCAGGAAAACTGCGACGACACAACCCCTGAGAAGAGAGGAGACCAGCACGCTGAGACCGCCGGGCGGGCATCTGCAAACCTCAGAGTGTGCAGCGGCCTGAGCTGTAGCTTCTGTGCTCTCTGGGCATTAATTACATCCTTCACTTTCCTTTTGGGGGAGGGTAAGGAAGGCATCACCTACTCTGAGTGAAGACGTCCTACCAGCGAAGAAGTTTAAGAATGAACCACTGAATGCTTTGCTCTTATTTTAAAATTTTCGTTGGCACTTATAAGACTTTATTTCCAGACATCTGGGCAATCGTGGCTGCTGCGGACATCTAAGCCTAGCCTCTTGGTAACCTAATTTTTTTCTCTCTTACCATCTCATCCATCTCTCCCCCACAAGAAGTTGTTCATCTTTATTTACCCTCATTTCACAAAAGAAAGCGAAGAAGTGCCCGCTGGTACTTTTAAAAACATCATATCCTTAATAATTTTCTGCGGAAGAAAGGAAAAAAAAATTCCAAAGAGGGAAAAGAAAAGGCCAGCAGACTATATCATCAGCCGGTCAGCCCAGGTGAAAAGCAAGAGTGAAATTGGGGCTTGAAGGGGAACACACCGCCTTTCCACAGCCGCAGGGCCACCACCAGTGCTTGAGCCTTGGATCCCTCAACGTATTGCGAGACGCCGGTGTACAGCCCGGACCTGTGCCCCAACATGATCGCCGCGCAGGCAAAGCTGGTTTACCAGCTCAATAAATACTACACCGAGCGCTGCCAGGCGCGCAAGGCTGCGATCGCCAAGACCATCCGAGAGGTATGCAAGGTAGTGTCTGATGTGCTGAAGGAAGTGGAGGTGCAGGAGCCGCGCTTCATCAGCTCTCTGAGCGAGATCGACGCCCGCTATGAGGGGCTGGAGGTCATCTCACCCACCGAGTTTGAGGTGGTGCTCTACCTCAACCAGATGGGCGTCTTCAACTTCGTGGACGACGGATCTCTGCCGGGCTGTGCGGTGCTCAAACTAAGCGATGGGCGGAAGCGGAGCATGTCTCTCTGGGTCGAGTTCATCACAGCATCAGGCTACCTTTCTGCGCGCAAGATCCGCTCGCGTTTCCAGACGCTGGTCGCCCAGGCGGTGGACAAGTGCAGCTACCGGGACGTGGTCAAGATGATCGCCGACACCAGTGAGGTCAAGTTGCGTATCAGGGAGCGCTACGTGGTGCAAATCACCCCAGCGTTCAAGTGCACCGGGATCTGGCCTCGCAGCGCGGCACAGTGGCCTATGCCCCACATCCCCTGGCCCGGCCCCAATCGGGTGGCGGAGGTCAAGGCCGAAGGGTTCAACTTGCTCTCCAAGGAGTGCTACTCGCTGACTGGCAAGCAGAGCTCCGCAGAAAGCGACGCCTGGGTGCTGCAGTTCGGTGAGGCGGAGAACCGCTTGCTGATGGGCGGCTGTAGAAACAAGTGCCTCTCGGTGCTGAAGACGCTGCGGGACCGCCACCTGGAGCTGCCGGGCCAGCCTCTCAATAACTACCACATGAAGACGCTGCTGCTGTACGAGTGCGAGAAACACCCGAGGGAAACGGACTGGGACGAGGCTTGCCTGGGCGACCGTCTGAATGGCATCCTGCTGCAGCTCATCTCCTGCCTGCAGTCCCGCCGCTGCCCTCACTACTTTTTGCCCAACCTCGACCTCTTCCAGGGCAAGCCCCACTCGGCCCTGGAGAGTGCTGCCAAGCAGACCTGGAGGTTGGCCAGGGAAATCCTCACCAATCCCAAAAGCTTGGACAAACTATAGAGTGCTGTGGACTTCGTGGAAAGCAACACAAACGGGCATGCTCTCTCTGAAACACACACAGCAACCGCAAAAACTCTAAACTCAAACTTTTATGGAAATCACCTGAAAGAACGCGAGTAGGCGGAAGACCTCCTTAATTAAGAAGCAAACAAAAGAGGGCAAACCAACCAAAAAAAATTTACATTCTTGCACAAAAGTGATCGTTTCCTTCCAAACAATGTGAATCTAAAGATCACACAAAAGAAGCAATCGGGCTTTGCCAACACAAAATGAAACCCAAGGTACATTTTTCAAATCCATGTATAGTTGCTTCCTCTCTTTTCCTTCTTTACACCCCCCTCCTTGTTTTGGGTTGCGTGAAAGATTGTCACCAAGTGAAAAAAAAATATTTAACTATATGTGAAATTTCTTTTTACAAAGTTTTACCGATGTGAAATGTGTCTCAGTGCCAATGTCAATGTGCCCCTCCCTCCTTCTTTTGCACCTCTAACCCTGGCCCTAAAATGTCTTGTTGAAACCAGTAAACCAGTAATAAAAATATTACTTTACATTGTAATTGGCTGCTTGCGGGTTGTTCTTGAATGAAGGCAGATGAGATCACTTTCTAACTTACAAGATATGAGCTTCAACTAAATGCAGGAAGCTTCCATTTGAACTTTGATTTGCAAAGTTTAAAATACAGCATTTTCTGGAGAATTAATTGTACAAATTTCTACCAAAATCCTTGGTAAAAAGTAAAATAAGAATTTTACTCAATATAATGTATATTTGTCCTGTAGATTTTAACAGTAATCTTATGTAATACTTAAAAAAGAAAACAGAACAACATACTTTTATCCCCAAATTTAAAATAATAAAAAGCCTTTCTAAAATTTTTCCGCATTATAAATTAGGATATTTGGTTTTGTATGCTGTAAATTCTTAAAAATCCAGTGCAAAAGAAATGTTTTTGGATTGTTTTTAAATAATGAAGGCATTTCATGTTTTTCCTTCAACCATTGTTCTCAAATTTCAAACAGTAAAAACAAATAAATTTAGCAAGTAAATCAACTACACCAAAAATAAAGAAATGAATGAATGAATAAATAAATAAATAAATAAATAAATAAATTGGTTGCTGCAATATTCCTTTCCCCTAGCAAGTGGTAACATGGACAATTCTGACTTATGTACTACGCTGTTTTTTTCATAATTTGCTTATTAATGCAATACACATGATCATTTTAATAAAATTTAAATAATTATTTTGAATCTACTGATATATAAAGATGATCTTACTACTATTTTATCACCTAAGAAAATAACTCCAAAAGTTATTTCCAAAATAACTCAGAAATAAGGAAAGTACCATCCTTATCCTACTTTTCTCAGGTAATAATCCCAGACTCATTTCAATGTTTCAACTCTGGTAAAGATTTCTTTTATATGCAATAAAATAACTGGAATATAAAATAATTGATAGAACTGAAAACATCCTAAAGAAACAGGTTTGTTTGCTTTATGTCCAAAGGACATGTCCCTTTGATTAGCTTTGATAATGTGAGGTACAAATACAGAACATGCTAAATGATACCTCTAATATTAAATTTTTATTCTTTAGATGTCTCTTTTTAAATGTTTTACAAAAAAATCAATAAATGAAAGATGTAGAAGAAAATAATCTAAAAATTGGTTTTCTGATGAAAACTTTGGGTGGGGGAGGGTATGTGGTGCTGCTAAGAACAGGAGGACTAAGATGACTGAACCCTAGGAAGCTCCTGGGCTCCGAAGCCCCAGATCACTTGACAGAAGAGGCATAAGCTGTAGGCTGGCTGCCCTAGGAAAAATAATTCTGTGTCAAAATACAAACTTAGGCCTTACCTACTCTGAAATTACCTTTGCCCTTTCAATGTATATACTACCGTGTGTGTGTGTGTGTGTGTGTGTGTGTGTGTGTGTGTGTGTGTGTGTGTATGTGTGTGTTTCTCTAAATATAAAACAAACTCATTAATTCAGTGCACTCATTAATTATTTTAAATAAACAATTTATCTGCTGAGGAAAATGGTCTGAATTTTAAGAACAGTTTCAAAGGAAACAATAAATACTTAGAGGTGTACACGAATCACTTAAGGCATAGTATTTGGTTTAAAAGATTAAAATGCTGCTTTAAAATGACTATTTTCACTCAAAAATTATTTCTAGCATGAAACAACACTTCTTCCAACTAGTTCACAAAAAAGTGATTAAGTCTTGACAAGAAAAAAAATTCCCCACTTCAATATCTTTCCTTCCTTATTTAATGCAAGTTATAAAACATTTTTAATGTTAAAAATGTTATAGTTAAGAAAAGTGTTACTATTTATAATACAAAAATATCTTCTATCATCAATGTCTATATAAAAATCAAAGATTCTATCAGTAATTGGATGAAGTAATTTCAAATATGAACTGCCAGGAATTTTGGTGTCTAGAGAATAGGGAGGTTACAGTACAAGACGAATTTCATGATTACGACAAAATATCTTATATTTTACAAGCAACAGGGAAAGAAACTTAATTATGCTACATAAAGAAGAGAAATCTTAAAAACTACAGCTTCTCACAAAAAAAGCAAATAACTTCAAAGAACCTCATCTCAAAGACTGACAGAGGTTTTGATTTTTAAAACACCATCAATCAGATTTTAGACTTTAAACTATGTTTGTTCCAAAAGCATAGTAAAATATTATGAATTAAATTCCAGTCCCTTTTAATTCTTAAGACATCAGAATCAAAGAGTTTAAGTAATTTTGGCAACCTTTTCATAATGAAATTATAGCATATTTTTAGACACTTTAGCATGAAATGTACAAAACATTTCTAGGTGATGAAATTTCAGAATTCAAGTTTTCTATACACTAGATTAGTTGAATTATCTAACTCCAAGCAACCAGGGTTATCACACCTTCTTGTCACACAGTCTAGCAAGTCCTGCCTGAATACAGGCTTTGATATGGAAACAAAGTGCTCAAAGCAAACACATATAATACAAGAAATGATCTGTCTGTAGAGCTCAACAAAATTATAACATTTTTCTCAAGAGCTTTTTAGGAATACTTCCAAATCATGAGGATTTAACAATTCGACATGCCTCCAAAACCACACAGGCTACCAATAAACTCAGAATGTGTGTATATTATGTGTATTCATAAATACATACATACACACACACACACACACACACAAAATAAGCCAGTAAAATTAATTATTCCATTTTTAAACCACTACTCTTTATATAGCATACTTATTTGGTTCATTTTTCAATAAATTGCTTCCTCTCAGAACAAATTCTACCATTCACTTTCATTAAATCAACATTATTTTGGCTTTATAGCTGTGTTAAAAAACAGAAATGTTTCTAAGTAAAATAAAATTGCCATGGTCTGAAAAGTAATCAAAATACCTTCGAAAGGGGAAATTACATTTTCATTTAAGAATAGGAAATTATGCAGTGCCTTGTAAAAGCTACCACAGGTAATGGGAAACAGAGGTATCACACTCTGGCAGAATACGATCGCCTGCACCAAAGGATAGTAAGCCATGGAGACAAAGCAAGGATAATGATATACTGGTATTATATACAGAAAATATATGGGCTAAACAAAACAATTCTACTCTCAAGCTCACTGAATTTTTGTTGTTTAATTCACCATGGACCCTTTGAGGCAGAATATATTTATAGACAATGTTCCCTGAGGTCTCTTCCCTCAAAGAACTAATGATAAATGCAATTAAGTGGAAATTGTTTTTGAATTTAAATGAACTTCAATAATCTAACTAGATGGTAAAAGAGTCTTAAGCTAAAAATGATAACTGCCTTGTAGTCAGCAAAGGCAATTCACAGCAAGAGTTCTAAACTAAGCTTTTGAGATTTTTTATTAAAACCAGTCTTACTTACTAGAACACACAGTCCCATAATAAGAAAAAAAATTAAACCCCTTTCCCTTCTCATCTTCTCACCTTTGGATCAATTTTCTTGAAGTTGGGATCCTCTTCATCCACCTCAAAATACAGTTCAGAGGAAGTAACAGAGAGAGTGCCTTTTACTACAACAGAGGGGGCCACAAGCTGAGCTGGTGTGCTCAGGCTAACAGGACCTGTCAAGAGAAAAAGATAAGCCATATAAGTTGGAATGACATTTTTCAAAATTCAAATTTGATCAGAAATAATATTTATTTTTTTTAAAATTCTTACATCTAAGTACAACATTGCTGACCTCTATACTTCTATATTCTGTCCATACAAAACCTATCTCTGAAGATGCAAAGTCTAGATTCTCACACTATAAGATTTATAACAGGCAGTTAACGATAATGGTAAACTGAGAAGCAATTATCTTACAGGGAGTGTGTAAAATGTTTGGTCTAATCTCTAGGTAAGAAGGAGGCTCTGCCTAAATAAGTACATCCACTTTCCATTTAGAAAGCCAGCCTCAGGCTACCAACAACATAGAATAACAACCAGGAGCAAGGAGGCCTCAATAGGCTCCCAAGGCCAGAGGTGACTTTAGAGCTTGGCTGAGGCATATCAGATACAAAGAGGACTAGCTTTATGAGTGAAGTGTTTGGAAATCCTCTGATAAACTATCTTCTTTGAAAAAGATTGTGTAACTGTTTCATACAAAACCTCTTGCATGGCAACTTTCCCCCCATGCAAGACTGGTAAAAATATTTCTTCTCAAAGTGTCCTTTCCACTGTTTAAATATTGCTCAGTGCCTCCAAATCTAATATTAGTGTAGTTCAGGGACTCTGGGAGTAAACAGCTGGAGGGTGGGTTTCCAAGTGAATGAATTTTTATTGGAATAATCAAATCTCCATAGGGCTTATCAAAGAGACAAATCAGACTGCTACTGAAAACAATAGATGCACTATAGACAGAACAACATAAGGTACCTTATAGCTAACCCTAAAATAAGGACTGAAAATAAATATTTGTGTGTGTGGGGTGTGTGTGTGTGTGTGTGTGTGTGTGTGTGTGTGT